AGATTAAATTTAAGATAATTATCCAATACCATATTTAAGGGATTTGTGTATCTAATTAAATCTTTTAAAATATATGGTATAAATATTAAAAGTGATAGTATATGTAATTGTTTTAAACTAGAGGTAAATATTGTATATATGGTAGTGATGTATGTGTAGTTAGGTAGTTTTTCCATTATTTAATTATCGAACCTATTTTCTCTTTAAGCTTTCAACTATAATAATTTAACAACCAACTTTTCTACTCCCTCCATTTCAAATTAATTGAATTGTTGAAACAATTTTCATTTTTCAAATTTACTAGATTGTTCAATTTTGCAAGACTACTTTTAGAAATTTTCTTCCAATTTTACCCTTCATTAGTAAGTATTGGAATTAGTTATTAATTAATGTTTAGTTATTTTACTCATAAATTTGATAATAATTAATAAGGGTAAAAATGAAAAGTTGTGTCTAATTTATGTCTTAATCCTCTTTTCTAAAAGGGTGTGAAACACCTAACAATTCAATTAATTTGAAATGGAGGAAGTATATTTTAATAAATATAATGCAATAAATTGTCTCAAAGAGTTAAATAATGTAGCAATATCAATTATAATCCAACTAGGAAAAATAGAAACCCAAATAATCTTTTGTAAAAACGAAACAAAAAAACTAAGCTAATTTGTGATGTGCGCACACATATATTCCAAGATCTACAAATATATACCATATATATATATATATTCAAAGAAACTCATAGGCTTCTAAATATCGTCACAAATTATAAGTCTTAACTTTTTATGAAATTACATTTCTTTCAGTATCATATCCATCACAGTTTTTACATCAGACAAAATTTATACCTTTGACCATTTATTTTTCATTGTATTTTCCCATGCTTCACGAATTGCTAGTGCTTCGTCGATGATTGTTTTAGGTTGGGAAAACCAATGTATAAGATAAGGAGCAAAAGATGTTTCTGCCTTTTTCTTTACAATGGGTATCGATGATATTACATGTAACAAAAGTGGGAAAAGGGAAAAAGGTTAAAGGACCAAACCTTTGAAAGTGAGACAATTGAAAATGGAGCTTCCATACATGTTGATTTTGCTTTTTAAATACTTGTCCCTCATTATTTTGATCCCCAAATAAACAGACCCCCCAAATCTTCATTGGAACATACAATAGCCAATGGATAAATATTTTACTCCATTTCTTTATCCATCCACCCCTCAATCATGCTAATTTTAATTCAATATTACTTTTTATTATTCGTTAAACATATACTTAATATGGATCTTTTTTAATCCAATCCTTCCCCTTGACCCAAAATGGTAAAGCTTGTGTGGCATTACATGTGATATTAGACGTTTTAGACAAATACAAAAAGCGATAAGTTATCTGTAAATTTTATGCGTATAATATGAAAATTTGAGAAAACAAGAAGACAAATGCATATCATCTCTTTTATCAACCATTTTCTTATTGTCAACAGTTTTTTTTTTATATTGCTATTCAAATATCAAGAAGTAAACATGTCAATAAAAGAAAGGAAGAATATTCCTCTCTTGTTAATATCATATCTGCCATTGAGAACAAGTCAAAATTATGTTCTACTAGTTGATAGAGTGGAATTTTTGCCTACAAAATTGACTATTCATATTTCAAATCCATGAATTATTTTTATTTTTTTGAAGGTTAGAGGCACCACCCCATCATATGGCCTTGGTGGCATCCAAATGCTTCAAAGGTTAAATATAATGAAAATAATAAGATAGTAAAAAGTCCTCATGGGATACCTTCATTGGTTTAATATTTGACCCAATCACTTTATAAAAGATTGTTCTAAACCTCACTTTTATTATATCTATCATCACTCCCTTTTGTCCTCTCTACCAAAAAATTAAAGACTGCTCCTATAAAATAATAAAATGAAGGGAATAAAGCAATAAATAGAAAAGAAAAAGAACAAACAAACAAGAAAAGTTTAAATTAAAGAGAAAAAAATAAAGATGGTAAAAGAAAAGAAAATTAAAGAAGTTGGTGATTCTAATGCCCCTTAGAAGCCCCTTAGTGGGATTCTCTGCCTTCTCTGCTCCACTTCAAAATACACCCCCTAAATAAATAAATAAAATATTTATATATAAAAAAAAAAGATTTACCCACAATTTTTTTTCATTTTTCTAATTTAATACTATACAAAACTACAAAAAAAAAAAAAAAAAAGAGAGAATAAAATGAGACAAGCAAGCAAACATGTTCCTCTCACTGCACTTCATCACGTGATCTGCACGTGACTAAATACCATTGATGAAGTGGAATAGATGCCTTGTACTTTTGACTTTTCAATGGTCAACCAAACACATGGGAGTACAATAATGCAATGCTGCCAATCAATCTTCCTCGTCGTGTAAATCACGCGCTGGAGTGAGAGTGGTTTACCTAAAGATTATAAATTTTGCGTTTTCCCGAGTTGGTAGTGGGGCTGTATGTCTTTTAGCAAACCTAAAACTTGTTGCATTCTAGGCCGTTTATTTGGGGTCTCCGCCGTACACAAGTACCCAACTCGGAGGCACTCCACCATCTCACTCACTGAGTCACCACCGAGTCTTAGTCTCGAATCAAGCGCGTCAGCTCCAAGTCCATCCTTCACTAGCCTCCTCACCCATTTAATCGTCTCATCCGAGCCGATTTTCCCTGTTAATAGCTCTACTAATACGACTCCAAAATCGTACACATCCGTCTCACTAGATCCCTCGGCTTGGTTTTGGCTCAATCCAAAATCGGCTATCCGAGGCTCAAAGTCATCGGCTAGTAAGACATTAGATAGCACCAAATGACCGTGGACCACAGGTTTCGACTGCGCGTGGTGGAGGTAGGCTAGTCCACGCGCTACGCCAACGGCAATACGGTGGCGCGTGTGCCATTCCATTTTCCCGGGTGACGTAATTTGAGAACCGTTTTGTAACTCCCACGTGTCGGTTGTCCAATCTTCCACGTTGGTGGTAGCAGTTGGAAGCTCGTGTAGCCATCGGTGGAGGTCACCATTGGATATGAATTCGTATAAGACTAGCTTCTCTTTCCCTGCATCAAAGGGAAGTATTAAATTAGCTTTAAATATGACTTAATTGAAAGAAAATATAATTGGATTCTGTTCTTATCAAATGGAGCAATTTGGTTCCTAGCTAGAAAAGTCTTCCAAAAATATTTGACAAGGACTTTGATACTACAATTGATCAATCAATGCATGTCATGAAATAATTTTCCAACTTTAAGCATTTTCAATTGAAAATGACATTCTTCTGAACCATTAATGCTTTTAAAATATCCTCTTATCTTTTTAATTCAATAACGCCTCCATAAAATAATACTTTATGGATAATATTTGTGCAACATTCTTCCAAAAATCATAAATCAAGGCTGAACAGTAGAACTCCCAATCTGGTAAGATTTTTAAAGATTTGACCTTATCGTGCAAAATGGACACAATTTACCAAGAGCATCATCATAAATGTCGTGGTGATATATGTGATACAAATAATAATCTCGAAATAAAATTAAAAATTAATTTTTTCCATGTTTAGTTTGAGATATTAATTAATCACAATTTTTTTTTATTCTACCATTTTAATTTCACGATAAATAAATGTCGTGAAATATCTCAATTCATAGAATATCATTGGTTATCGTAATTCTGCGAACCAAACCATACTGCAGTTTCAGTATTTTTCAAATCCCAATCTGGCATAAGATTTGAAAGTTTGACTTTGTAGGGTAAAAAATGGACACAATTTACAAAGAGCATTAAAAGCACATATAATTTGAATGATGTAGTCATAGTACTAACATCCAAATAAGTCACGCATTCCTATTTACTGCTTCATCTTGTTGTATGTAATCATAACTACTGCCTACGTTTCTATGGTTGCAAAGATTTCTGTCTCATTTACTACTGTCTGTCCTATTTCTCATCCCATCCTCCCACGTGAATGCATTCAATATGCTCACCTCTAGATATTTTTTACTGCTAGAATTCGAATTGTATCACATAAATTGTACTTATTAACAGAAGATGCTGTAATAAGTGAAAGAAGATTAGTACCTGCAATGCAGTAACCAGAAATAGGCAACAGATTAGGATGCTTAAGCCTGGAGAGTTGTTCAAACAAGATAATAGCATCATCATGGGCTAGTTCCCTAGCATGTTCCAAGACCTTGATTGCCACGTGGAGGTCACCTGGAAGTACGGCTCTGTAAACGGGCCCACACCTTCCTTCAGCTAACAATGACTCTTTTCCAAAGTGAGTTGTGGCTGCTATGAGGTCTTTGAATGTTAGGTTCATCAATGGCTTCTCAAACATAACTACAGCTGCTGAACTTGGTTCTTTTATGTCAGCAACCCATGAATTCCCTGACTCTGTTTCAAATGAAAATGGCCCTGATTTGTCCATTCTAAATGGTATTTGTATTGGCTTTGAAATTAGCCATTTGTTCTTCCTAGCCAATGTTTTTCTCCTCTTGTATAGACACAAAATGACTAACCCCATGGCCAAGATTAGAAATGCTGAAGCAGAGGAAATAGCTATGGTTAAAACTTTCTTTCTTGATTTGGGCCTTTTCTTGTGTGTGTTTGGTTTGATAGGTTTGTGTCTCGAAGGCAACATTTTTTTGTGTGTTGGGGTAGTAAAGTTATGATTTTTAATGTGTAACTGTGAGGAATTCTTGGGATTTGGTAAGAGATTCTTGATTTGCAAGTGCCCAGCATGAATGAAAGAAGAGTTCCCAAATTTAGCAAACTGGTCTTTGGGTATTTCCCCAGTGAAGTTATTGAATGAGATATTCAAGAAATTGAGACTAGACAGAGGAGGAAAATCATTAGGAAATTTACCATCCATATGGTTGACAGAAACATCTAAATGCTTCAGTGACTTGATATGTGAAAGGGGTTCTGGATTACCATAAATGTTACAGCTAGAAATGCTCAAATTTTCAAGCTTAGTTAGGTTGGTAAACCAAAAAGGTAAAGACTTGATATCATTATGTGAAAGGTCAAGAGAAGTAAGATTAGGAAAACCATAAAATACAGAGCCTAAGTTGGTAAACCTGTTGAAAGAAAGATCAAGTCTTTGAATAGATGATGATGATCTTGCTACAGCAACAGCCCCACCTAGCTTATTCTTTGACAAATTGACTTGAACCAAAGATGAAATGGACCAAAACAGAGGATGAACAGAACCCTTTAAGGAATTATTTGATAGATCTATAGTATGAAGATGAGACAAATTTGTTAAGTACTTCCATGAAACTATGCCAGTGAGGTTTCTTGAAGATAAGTTTATTTCAGTTATTGGAGAAGAACAGTTTGAGTTGAACCAAGAGATGTTGAAACCATAAACAGAACTGAAAGCCTTGGAAACAAGATATAAATCTAAATCTGTGTTGTTTTTGCAAGGGGATTCTGATTTTGAGAATGTGAAAAGAGAAAGAAAGATGAAGAGTGTGAACAAGATTTTCATTTTTTGTTTGTGGGACTTGTGATTGTTTCTTTCAGTTGGAAGTAGTTGATGTAAATGCCATATAGAGTTGATAAGAGTAGATGTATTAAGGGGATTTCAAGTGGAGGTAAGTAAGTCCAATATAATTGGTTTTATTTATATATGGAGAGAGAAAAAAAGAAACAAGTAATAGTAGAGTTGGAAAGAGAGAGAGATGGACAAATATATGTGGATCTGTGAGAGGGTTTGTTGAACCTAAACTTCCTTTGGAGTTTTAAGCATAGAATTTTCAAACATTCATTTGCTTAAAGCAAATTCTAACCTGGTTGTGGTGCGGTGGTGGAACTGTTTCACCCTTAATCAAAAAAATTGAATTTGAATTGTGAGTATGGAGAAAATTTTGTTGGGCGTGCCACCTTGAATGGGCCCACTCGTACGCTATTCGGATTTAATCAAAGCTCTTTTGTTTTTTACTTTTTGTAAATAAAAAAAATAATCGGAGGTGAGAAAAGGAGATTACAAGGTAAAAAGATAAATTCTCATTGTGAAAAATTAGATAAACCAACTGAATTAAAGTGTATTGATTTTTCTAAAATTAGACATAAGAAGACGAATGAAGACTAGATTATAAGGTGAAATCAAAACATAGAAAGATGAATGAGGAAAATATTATAACTTGAAACCAAATCCTCATTAATAGTGTAAAAATTCGTATGACCAATCCAATTAGATAACTAAAATTCTCCATGTGATTGGGGTTAGTTTGAAGTATCCTTGTTGGTAAAAATTCAACCTTAATTACCCTACTGGAAATAAACCTCAGGTCAGAGATTATTCTTTAGAATTCACCTATGAAAAATCGCAACATTCTTTTTTTGAATAAATAAATAAATAAAATAATCACGGTGATTCTTCAGTCTTCACCTATGAAAAATCGCAACATTCTTTTTTTGAATAAATAAATAAATAAAATAATCACGGTGATTGAAGGTAGAAACAAAGAGGTAAATCATGGGAAATTATCACGTATATAGTGATAAACATTATTTATATCATAATTCATATCAAATCAATAAATGTAAAATAAGTTTTTTTGGTAAATACATTTTTTTATTATACAAATATGAGTACATACAAATTTTATTTTATATCTTGGTTATTTTATTTTTGAATTAAGAATCTATCAAAAATAATCACCCTACAAATAAAGATAGTATTTGCAAATAAAGATAATAGTTGCTACTTTATATGTATACTCTATTTTTTTAAGACGTCACTCATAAAATTACATTAAACAAATTTCTACTCCAATATTAAAACGCGTATTCGGTACCAAACGGTGCCTGAGAGACCTAGTTTGACCTGTTTCTTATCCTTGTCAATTCATTCTCTAGTGACTCATTTATAAACTTATTAGGCAGAATTATTTTTTTTAAAACATCAGTCATCACTATCCCAATTATTTGTCATTTTTTTGGCTGTTCTTTTTTTCTTCCTGTTGGCAACTAGGCTAAAGTTACTCAGAATAAGATTATTGATATAGTAAATGATTAATAGCTCTAAATCTGTACTGGAAAGTGTAAATATAATAAATTCTAAATATTAAGAGTTCTAAAAAAAAGTATGCTGGTATTTAAGAATCATGCTTTCTCCGTCTAATAATAGTTGTACATTAAAAATACTTATCCAACAATACTTGTTTAATTTAGAAATTCAAGAGATAATTTATCTTTTGTATCTATTTTACTCTTACTATTAAATATTATTTATCATCTAACATATTTTTCAAAGCATTAAATTTAATAAAGTCAGAGGATAATATAATAATATTACCCTTATTATTTGTTGTTTCTTAAGAGATGTGTCAAGTCAATAACGGACAATTATTATTGGACAGAGAGGGTATATTGCGTTCTCTTCGGAGGATTCACATGCTTCAACTACTAAAAAGCACCTCCAAGATATAATTTTGGTAGTTCTATCTTTAAATTCATATCATTGAATTCACTATACTCTTTAAAGTATGAATTAAAAATTTGATATTCTTCCAAAATTTAATATTCTTCACATGTATATCTACAGCTAATAATAATCAAATTAATCATAAGACATGAGTACTTGAATCTTTACAATTTTTTTAGAAAATATTCTGCAACTCTTTTTTAACAAAGGAGTCTGCATTGTGATTGTTTCTTCGAAGAGGATGTTAAATATATGGACAAAAATATATACACGTTATAAAATTCAAGCATATAATGACAATAATCATGCCACAATTTTTTGAGAAAAGACCTTGACTCCATCAAAGTCATATAATTTGAGTGGACAAGTAATAGGTGTAGTAAATTACAAACTCCATGTTTACGTTCATATACATATATAAAACTCCAAAAATGTTGAATTCAATGTCCCCAAAAAATATATGATGGACGAAAAATCAATTTGGAACGTACATGACAACAAGTTTCAATGCGTATAATAAGGAGAAGCATCGTTCTACCCCGGAAAAAAGTTTAGAAAATAAAATAAGTAGTACTCTATTATTTTATCAAATTTCAAATATTAATCATTTTTATAATTTGATTATCTTAATAAAAAAATATATCTTATTATGTTTCCTTGTTTGCCCCTCCAAATTTACTCTTACGACTCCAATCAATGGACCATGCTCAAACCATGATTTTACTTGGTGAAGGTACGAGATAAGACACACGGTCAACTGAATTTAGTAATTTTAGCCCATTTACTATATAAATAAACAAGAAAATTGTGATTATCCACTAAATTTTAATTCCAACGAGTAAATATTAATTATAATTTCTAAAAAATATAATTATATAAATTAGATAAGAATGTGCTGTTATATTATTATTACTATTAATAATTTCTGAGAGAATGACAATGTATAGCCAATATGACTTCACCTAACCTCGTGTGAAGCCAAACATAAATTTCCAAATGGAATGACAACTAAGATTTTCGAATTAAAATTCAAAAATATATAAATATACCAACTATCTACCTGAAAGTGGATTCCCCATTTGGAGTCACTATATTAAATTATATACTACTTTTAATAAATTCAGGACCATTGTTTCTTGCTTCTAATTCTCTCACAGTTTGTGCAAATATGACCCCTTTAAGTCTTTAACCTGGCTGCTTTCAATAGTACTCAATAGTCAATTTATTCAAACTTTGTTTTTTCTCTTATTGTTTACAACTTTTTTCATTTTCTTTTAGTATAAGCAAGAGATGATTCAATTTGTAATTATTTAATACAAAAACTAGAGAACAATGCCGTTTCTTTGTTTAACTGATAATGTGAATTGTGATGGTATGGGACCTTGAAAGAAAATATTCATGAATGGGTTTTAGGTTCGAAATTTTGTGCATATTTTTTTTGGTTGAGTTTGTTGCATGAGACTTATCTAGTGTGATTTATCTTTATTTTGTGGTTTGCGCGCTACTACATTGAAGCGAGATTTATCTTAGGAAAAATTACTTGAATGGGTATCATTTAATAAATAATTACTGATTTTAACGATACTTTTTATTTATTACTATTTATAGTAATACATATCAATATTATGTTAAATCTGCAATATATATTAAAAGTGAATTATGTATGCAATATATATATGTGTTATAATTGTTTTTTTAAAATATATTATGCTTGATTAGTAAGAAATTGACACATTGTATTATAAGTGTATTAAAATGTGTGATAAATGTATTATCCATCAATAAAACTTGTATTATATGTGAATAATAAATTGTTCTTTGTAATATGTATTAAAACTGTATTATAAATGTATTAAAAGTGATCAAGTAACAAAAATGTTATTGCTATAAATGAAAATACTTTTTTGATATAATATATTTATGTAAGTTTCCCTTTATCTAAGCGCACTCAAAGAATAGCAATAGCAGATTTCCTTATCAATTAAAAATAAATATATTTTAATTGTATACATTATATTAATGTAATTTAACTTATTATAACGTATTAATTTATTATTTGTATATGCTTATCAATTACTAATAATATTATAAAAGTTTGTCTGCAACTATCTTTTGAGTGACTCGAGGTGCAAATGTTTTACACAATCAATGTATTTTTTTTTAGCAAATCCAAAAAATTTAATCTCTTGTAATTAGCTCAATTCACTTCCTAAATTAGAAGTGTTCTTATCATAAGAGAAAAAAAAAAAGAAAGAGGAAAAGATGGTACTACAAAAGTGCTAATTAAGATATATACAAAATATGCATCATCACAAATCTTGATTATGCAAAAACCTACAAAACCTAGCTATAAGCTAAGCTTAAGGTGATCAAACTTAATATTCATGTATATAGACAATTGAAGAAACTTATTTTCTCCATACCAAAAAAAAAAAAAGATCCCTTCCATCTTTAATCAAGGATTAAAGAAAAAATTCCCACACTTACATTTCCAACACATAGGCTTATAATTTGATATATCATCACCTCTTGAATATGATATATTATACACAATCAATGTATAACTCTTAAATTGATCCTATTTAAGTAGTGGAGTCCCTAAAATGTACTTCCTCTGATTCATATTTCATGGTGCTTTTGGTTTTTATATTTGTTTAAAATAATATTGTATAATAAAAAAGATGTTATAATTTTTTATTCTAATTAATTTTACACTTATTTAATATGTGGGTTTTACGTAACCAAAAAATTACATATAAAAAATACGTATTATATCTAAAACACACTAATATGGATAGGAGGAAATACTTGTTTTATTAAAATAATGAAAACTATGAAGTAGTATCACTTTTGTCCCACTTTTTTACCTCTCCCTCAACTTTTGACTAATTTGTACCACCACCACCACCACTATTTTTAGGAAAGATAGAATGTGAAAAAATAATAATATTATTTTCACCTTTTCCATTTCAAAATACCTATCTTCCACATTCACTTAATATTATCCCACTTTTTTTGATTCATAAACATTTAATTTCCTTTATTTTCTATTTTTTGTTAGATGTTTGACTTACTTTATTTTATTAGTTTCTCTTTTTGACTTGCAAATGATATTGGGGTTTGGTTTTTGGATTTGGGGCTATTGCAGTTGAACTGTTGAAGAAAGTTGGAGTTAGGTTTTCCATTTTGAGTTGTATCTACTCCTCAATCAAGTGTATAATATTTGGTTTAGTCAAATCAAGCTTTCACATAGCTTTATTGATAGTCAATGTCATCA